ATTTTCCGGCTTTTGGGTTTTTTTTTTTTTTTTTTTTTTGATACGATAAATTTCAATAAATCTGGGCACGAAACACTTCTGCTCACTGCTACTGTCCCTCATGCATAAAACTTTACGAAGTACATGCACTCACAATTACGAACAAAAATTGGCAACAGTTGAAATTCGCCTCGGTCGTACAAAATGCACTCAATTTATGAGTTTAGTTGAGAGATACGGAAATCCTACTCGTTACATAAGTGCCGGGTTTTTTCTTTCGGTGAAATTTTGGAGTGGAAACACAAGCTTGTAAGCTTTCAATTTGCATCTAGTCCCTTCCTAGCATCACAAACCCATAACCACCCCTCCACCCAGTAATCTCTACCGCTCTCTTCAGTTCTTACCTCCAAGCAAAGTCTCCGCTCTTTTCTGGTCAGTACCCCAGTCCCCTCCCGTCCGTTATGATCACCACGACCTGAATCGTCAGCATCTTTGGTCCTCCCTCCCACCCTCCTTCACTTCTACTCCTGTTCATTCCAAGAAGGCATATCAAAACCAGCGCAACTCCTTTTCATCCAATCGAACCGAGCCGACTTTCAGCAAATGTCTAAAAACTGCCAGGCATCAAACAAAGACTAATAAAACATCGAAATGAAACAGTGATAAAGTGGGAAGAAAAGAAATTAAAACGAGATTAAGCATCTGGAAGGTATTAAGGAAGATGGAAGACAAAATATTGTACATGCATTTGGTGAAAAACAAAAAACAAAGACTTGACAGGCAAAGAAATGCTGGCACGATACTGTAAGCTTAATGGATTTACAACAACATAACGATGCAAATATATCAAGGAATAACAAATACAAGCATAGGCACTACGTAAGAAATTGCTGAGATATTTCACTTAGACCAAAAAAGTCCTTTCAATTTCTTGCGTAACACTACTGCGCAAAACAGCAGCAGCGTTGCACAAAGCAGATGGCATCAAGGAACGAACATAAATCGCGCTTACTGAAATTCCAGAACCGGGCCACAAATCTGGAAATAAGGGAATAGCACGAAAACAAACACAACTTGTTACGCCACAGCTCTAAGCGCGGGCTTTGCATACATGGTAGAGGTTGTGGCAGAACAGAATGGCAGCAGGACATAAACTCGGCCTGACCATGCTTGCAGCAGTGTGACAGACTGAAACATATGTCAACAGATTCGGCGCACTCCTGACCTAATTAAATTTCCCTAAAAGAAATCGAGTTTAAATCTCTGGGAGTTTTTGTCCTAGCATTAGCATGAAAATGCCTGCCAACCAAGAAAGCTGTCGCAAAATTTAGGAAATTTCATGCCTAACAACGCTTCCAATTTTAATTCCGCTTGTGGGTCGCCGAGTGCCCACCAGTTTTTCACAGAATCTCCTGGATAACCCCAAACTGAAACGAATGAACAAACAGAACTGCTATAATTGAACTGAAGCAACAGAATAAAGAAAAACCAAATTTACATGGTATTTATGTCATTGAGTGGAGAAACACAGGGAAGGCTAATGCGGCAGTGACCAGAGGAAAGACGACAAAAGCTACAACAGACTGG